AGCTGAAACTGAGAGTCGGACGCTCAACCGACTGAGCCACCCAGGCACCCCCCCTTTTTTTTTAAATTTTTTAAGTTTATTAACTTTGAGAGCAGAAGGGTTCTTAACAGACCACCCTGTCCACCAAGCGGTTTCTGAAGACCCCTGTGCAGTTGATTCGGGGGAGGCAGCGGGGTTGATGTGATTCTTCGGGTAGGCCTGAGTAGGCTGGGTCCTGCATTCTTACCAGCCAGTAATTCTCAGGTCTCCAATAAATTATTTTGCCTCGCATGTTCATTATTCCGTTTTTTCCTCATGCCGGGGGTACTTCTCTTTGATTTTTCCCTTGTAACAAATCATTATGCAAGTAACACTTTTGCTGGTACTATTTGAAACGTGGTGAGGTTTGGATTGTGCTTTTTTTATCCTTATTCATTAATTATAATTAACATTAGGTAAATTTACCGAGCAAACCTGGTAAATGATTTACCTAGTTGAGCTAATGAATTTTTTTTTAACTGATGTTCCAGAAATTAATTTTCGTTTCGTTTAGGGACCTGTTTTGTTTTGTGCCTGTTATTTCTAATCACCAGAAAGTAGACACGAGCTTAAGGAGGACAAATGTCCGTGGGGTTGTAGTTTGGCTTTGTTTCTCCTTGTTGTTCTTTCGTTGGTAAACTTTTACTGAATACTTTGCAGATGGTGGGCCACAAAACTTAATGCTCAGGTATGTGACAGGTGGAAAAGTAGTTAATCGTTGAAACGGTTTTTCAGCTTTTACTCAGGCCCATCTCTAATGAAAGTGCCAAGGATATTAAAAAGCCTTTGGTAACTGGTGGCAAAGACCCTTCAGTTACCCAGGGAAACAGTGAAGACCAAGCAAGTGGCCCCGCGGAAACAAAGCCCGTGGCTTCCATTTCCAGTACGCAGCTTATATATGTGGTCGCCGACCTGGACAAGCTTCAGGAGCAGGTAGGCCTGTGTCCCAGGAAAAGTCCAGGGGCTCGGTTCGGTGTTTTCGTAGAAAGTGACATGTGCGAGGGTCTGACCCCATATGGCCTCATGGGGCTTGGAATCGTGGGGCCCAGGGCCTCCCGGAGAGCACAGGTTCGCCCGTGCTCTGAGCGGTCTCTCCAGCTTTCCCCTGCGGGGGGGGCTCTCTGCCTCCTTGCTTGTCAGTCTAGTCTCATATTTTGTGAACCTGGGGGGGGGTCTCTGCTGCCTCTTCACTGTTCCCGTCACAAGTGACGAGTGAGCCGTGCCCCACTGTTCACTAGCTCCGCGTTTTGGCATGATCGCTGGCGGGTTGGATTTTAATGGGTTGTACCCCCACTCGACCACGTATTTCCTGGCAACAGTTAACCTTCGCGTGTACTTTGAAAGTGAACTGTGAAAACTTCTCCCCCTGTTTCTGTGGGTATGTCCATGTTTGGGGCCTTTATCATTAACAGGGCTTTGTGGGCCGAATTTGTGTTTGAGTGCTCTGATACGTGAGTCTGTTTTCCGCTGGTCTTTGTTTGGTATCGGGGAAAGCCACAGAATAGAAAATGGTTTCGCTTCTTCCCTGGGCCTGTTAATAGCCGGGGACTGCTGTTTCCCGTGTTGCTGGATTCTGTTTTAGTGAGAGCGTTAAGAATTTTGCTTTCTTCTGATGAAAACTATAGGAAGTCTTGAGTTTAGTTTCATTTTTCATTAATAGTATTTTAGAGTTTATAGGTGCAAGTTGAATTGCCTCTTCCTTTGATTTGTAAAAAGTAACTGAATATATAAAGTGCATATATTTATTTCAGCTTCCAGAACTCTTGGAAACAATCAAGCCAAAACTTGAAATGATTGGCTTTAAGAATTTTTCTTCTATCTCAGGTAAAAATGAATCTTTAGACTCAGCACATCTCTGAATAAGAAATAATTTAAAATAAAACTTTAGAGCCTGTAATATATATTTAAACCACCATTTTCTTTTCTAGTTGTCAATCCTTGGTTGTTTCTATATTCTGTTCTGTGATGATAATTTCTCTAGATGAGATATTTTGTTTAATTCTAATAAGTTGATTTGATTCGGCTTATTGTTGTACACTCTGTAAATACTGTGACAGTGTCTAAAATAAAATTCGCACCCGGGCCTCAGTAAGTGGCTAAACTCAGTCTCTGTGTCTGGACAGCAGCCCTGGAGGACTCCCAGACGTCTCTGTCCGCCTGTGCTCCTGCCTTGAGTGACAGGATCATCCAAGACTTAAGCGAGTCTTGCTTCGGCTACCTGAAGAGTGCCCTAGAGGTCCCCAGGCTCTACCGAAGAACCAATAAGGTCAGCACTGTTCCCTGGAAAGCCTTTTGAGGTGGGGAAATACATGACAGGAAAGCCACAGAGGCAGGGGGTTGTTGAGCGAGACCCAGAAATGAGTCCACAGGGGTAGCCCAAGGCAGGCCTGCCCGGCCTCCTCCTTAATTGTGAGAAGGGGACTCTGCAGGTGGATGGTCAGCTGCTTTGGTGATTGGACTCACACAGCACGGCCTCTTCCCGGACTCCCTTGGCCTTAAGGAAAGATGGTAGTAATTTGAAAAGAAAGCTTTTTAACAGATACATATTTAAAAAAAAATTTTTTTTTTCAACGTTTATTCATTTTTGGGACAGAGAGAGACAGAGCATGAACGGGGGAGGGGCAGAGAGAGACGGAGACACAGAATCGGAAACAGGCTCCAGGCTCTGAGCCATCAGCCCAGAGCCTGACGCGGGGCTCGAACTCCCAGACCGCGAGATCGTGACCTGGCTGAAGTCGGACGCTTAACCGACTGCGCCACCCAGGCGCCCCACAGATATATATTTTTAATGTTTTTTATTTATTTCTGAGAGAGACAGAGCATGAGCAGGGGAGGGGCAGAGAGAGAGGGAGACACAGAATCTGAAGCAGGCTCCAGGCTCCGAGCTGTCAGCACAGAGCCCGACAGAGCTCGGGGCTCGAACTCACAAACCAAGAGATCGTGACCTGAGCCGAACTCGGACACTCAACCGACTGAGCCACCCAGGCACCCCTTAAAATATTTTTAACTCCTATACTTTGATTCTTGTATTTGGAAAAAATTGAATCGACCTTGCTCCCTTCATATCGTCCTAGCAAGTACCTGCTTTCTGCTGTTCTGTAACTCGAAAAGATTCGAAAAGCTGCATCAGGAATATGAAAAGCATCTCTGAGATGAAAAGGGTGTGGGCACACTGGGGTTTAAAATCGAATTCCCCCGTTGTCTCCTTTGGCAGAAAGGCGACTTGGGGAATTCGTTTCGACCAGAGCTGTCGTTTCCGTTCCTGAGCTCTTCTTTCTGTGCATTTATACGCACCTTTCCTTCTTGCTACATCTCGCTTAATTTTCCATCGAATTTTCTTTTTTCTCCAGTTGTAGAATTGGGTGTCAGGCAGTTTAGCACCAAAGTGATTTTCGGGACCTGTTGTTTTGGAGTGTCCTCGGAGTTCCTTTGCGTCCCTGGTTTGGGGCGGTCTCTGTGTGCCGAGCGCAGGCGTCTTGCCCCACCCCCGCCTGCGTGACTCAGTGCTCTGGAGGCAGTGAGTGCTCAGCGGAGGTGGACAGAGTCTCTCTTGTGGCTCTTCTTTTCCTTTTCCCAAACTCTGGGGCGTGCCAGTAGGATTACCACTTCCAGCAAGAGGACTTTGCCACCTGATTTTCCCTTTCTGGTCTGCCTTGAAGCTCCCACTTCAGAGCGGGAGAGAGAGACCTCCTCTGTATTCCTAGCTACATTCATTTTCTTTGCGGAAGCTACCAGCTTTCCCGTCCGGGGTATTGACCAAGTGCTTGCGGGCCAGATCCGGTGCGCTGGCGGTCAGATGCTGTCGTTTGCTCTTCTCCAGAGTAGGCACCAGTGTCCTTGTTTGCAGACGAAGAAGCTAAAACAGAACAAATTACTCGCCGTAGATCCTTGCGTCTCACTCTGTCGACCAGCAGCATTAGCATGACCTGGTGGGACCCCGTTAGAAATGCACGGCCTCAAACACAGCTCTCCCGGCCCCTGTAACTGCGCACTGCAGTACTTGTTCTCTCTGTCCTTTTCTCTCTCTCTCCCTCTCTCTCTCTGGCTCTAAACATTATTTTCCCTTGCTGTACTCTTCCTGACCCCTCCTGTTCTCAGATATCTTTCGGGAGACAACCTTAGTGTCACTACTGGGGAGGGATGGGGTTCGTTCATGTCTCCAAACTGGCACATTAGTAACATCCTTCCGAAGTTTGAATAACTCTTTTTTTTTTCCTATACATTTTTTTTCAACCCCTACCATCATTACTCCAGGAAGTGCCAACCACAGCCTCCTCTTACGTGGACAGTGCCCTGAAGCCATTTCGCCAGCTTCAGAGTGGGCACAAGGATAAGCTGAGACAGGCAGTAATCCAACAGTGGTTAGAAGGCGCCCTCTCTGAGAGCACTCATAAGTAAGTACCTTAGAAGTAGGCCATCCCAGACTTGCTTAGGGAAGCCCCGAGTCAGAGACCGCGGAGGCCATTGGAGGGTGGCACGTGGCTTGTTGACGACGTCAGATGGCCGCGTCGCTGGACGAGTCGGGTGCAGGCGCTCACACCTGAGTTGGTGGCTGAGCTGCTCTGGCCCCACCCACCCCCTCCCTCCCTGCACCCGGAGTGCGATGGGCCACCTGCCCCCCAGCCGCCCAGGGTTCCCCTGGCCCCGCACCTCCTGGATCAAGTACTTCGCGGGGGCACAGGCACATCCCACTCCCCCGGCACGCCCAGCTTTTGGTGTGCAGGGTGCGTTTCACGCGGCCCTCTTTCTGCAAGGTCAGGCACACGTTTTCCCATAAGATCCGCTCTCTCCTGTGTCCACAGTGGCTCTGCTCGCGCCAGATAATCGAAAGCGCAGACTGGCGAGACCACTGCAGCCAAGGAAGAGAAAACACACGTTCTGAAGCCTGATTGTAACTGATAGCGTTCAGTATCTAAAACCCTGCAACCCGTGAAAATCTCAGGAGGTCTTCGGGATCCCTTTGGTCGAATGTCTCTTCGTTTCTCATTCGATAGACTTTTCCCCAAATGCCGGCATTGAGTTATGTCAAAAGCATCTTACTCAATTTTGCTATTGGATTTTGTTTATTTTCTGATGGTACTTGATTTATTTCAATTACTTCTGAGTTCAGGAACATTTGTGGGTTAATTTAGAACATAACAGTGAATTAGAGTCTTGTTTTTGTGGGCAAATATATACCAAGTGCCGAGTAGCCAGCTTGTAAACAAAGTTTTGAAATACAACTCCTTTATAATTTGCAAATTATATTGAGAGCACTGTGAAGGTAATTAGTGTTATTTAAAAATTTGAAAGCCTTCTGTTCTTAAGATGAACTGTTCCTAGAACTGACCGTAAATGAATCTGTTACTTGCACTTGGGGAATGAGCTCCAGCTGTTGCCCCCTTCGAGTAGGAAAGATCATTTGGCCTTCGATGTTCTCTTGTTGGTGTCCGGGAAAATTGTAAACAGAGTCCACGTGTGTATTTCATAAGTTCTGAGGGATTGTGATGCTAGGGTGTCAAGGCTCCTTTTTTTCAGTCTTACAAAACATTGGTCAGTTCACCATGGCCGATTTCTTTTATTGGAAATGAGTGTTGGTCTTACGAATCTCTTGTGTTGGCCCACCAAGCCAGTCGGTCTGGGGATACACGCTAGCCCCTCGGTCTCACCAGTAAGCGTGTCTTGTGCCCAAGGTACTACGAAACCGTGTCCGACGTTCTGAACTCGGTGAAGAAAATGGAGGAGAGCCTGAAGCGGCTGAAACAAGCCAGGAAAACCACTCCCACCAACCCCATCGGTCCCGGTGGCGGCATGAGTGACGACGACAAAATCAGGCTGCAGCTGGCCTTGGACGTTGAGTACTTGGGAGAGCAGGTAACTGCCGAGCCATCGTCAGGTGCCTCACGTGAGCCCGGACGTGCTGCCGAGGGCGGGCGTGTCCTCCTGGGGCTGGAGGGAGGGGTCAGGGCCCCAGAATTCTTGAGGGGAAAGGATGTGCGTAACGAATACCGGAAATTGACCAACTGGTCTTTGGTGCAGTTGGCATCCACTTGGCTCACGGAGCCCACTCGAGGGGCAGCTCCCAGACGGAGGCGGCGTCCTTTCTGTCCACCACCGGGGAAGTGCCTGACACGTAGTCAGGCGGTTAGAATAAGTAGAGAAGCATTAGCCCGTGGATCTCTCAGTGTGGCCCCTGAGAGGTCATCTAAGCCTGACCTCTTTGCTTCCCTGGCTGAGTCTCCTCTGTTCCCATAAAACACAGGTTTTGGAGTCCCAGCAGGCGCAGGAGCATTGCTGGACGTGGTGTCACTTAGGAGGCAGATGTGGGTTGCATGCCAGGCCTCTCTTCACACAGGTGACTCATTCAAGGATCAGGAAACTTCTCTCGCTCTTGAGAAGCTGGCTTTCTGTACTGTTTAGGGTCCCCGTATAGCACACACCCTCCAGGAAGATCTTGCAGCTGGAGGAGAATTTCCATCCGGAAGTGCTTGCTTTCCTAGCTGACTGAGGACTCTTGCACGTCAGGGTCCTCCCTGGAGATCTAAATTCTGCTGCTTTGATGTGAATTTAGAGATCTATCCCGGCGGAAGTCCGTTGCCCTATTTCTCTCTCTCATAAGAGAAACTTGCAGTCCTTTTACAAACCAGACAATCTGGTAAAGAAATATGAAGAACAAAGAAGCCAGAGAAAGAGGGGGGGTGGGGGTGCAGGAAAAGAGACGGCACTCCTTGGTCGCCAGCCCCCAGAATGAACGGCAGCACGCCGACAGATGCTAAATGCTTGGTGTGGGTTTTTCCAGATTTTCCTGTGCGTGTGTGCGCGTGTGTGTTGCCGTTAACAAAAGCGGGCACGTGGTTTGTCACGACTCAGTTACCACGGCAATCCACGGTAGTTGCTCTGCCACAGCAACCACAGTCCATCAGATTCTAAGAAAATCTGTCGATGACCCGTGAAGACATTAAGTGCTCAGGCCAGTGCTTTTGTGAAAACTCTCCACTTAAAAAAATAGTTCGCTTGGTGATTTCTTTTCGTGCGCCTCCTTTGCAGTCCACAAAAGGGGCTCTTCCCCTGGCAAGAGCCTGATCTGATGGACTGAGATAAATGAACATACTGGCGTCTTTGAATGCGCAGGGTTTAACCCCCAAAAGCGAAGCTCTGCAATAAGCAGATCCTTCCTGTGAAGGGAGAAGGCTCTGCCAGCCTTTGGGGAGCTGCCCTTTTCAGATGCCAGAGAGGATGGGGGTGACATCCCTTGTGTTCTTTATGAGGCTCTTTTGTTCGCGCTCAGCTCACACCGCGGTGCCTTTATCCGCTCTCGTGGCCTTTGCAGATACAAAAGATGGGCCTGGCGACAAAGGACATAAAGAGCTTCCCGGCCCTTGCCGAGCTGGTTGCCGCCACCAAGGACCAGGCAACGGCAGAGCAGCCGTGAGCATCTTGGAAGAGCCCGCGGGGAGGGGAAAGCTGGACGTGGAGCCCGAGGGGAAGAAAGTGGCTCTGTCCTCGGGCCCAGTCTCCGTGGCCAAGAAGTGCTTCCACGGTGCCCGGCGTCTCGAGCAACACGCCAGGGCAGCTTCTCTCCGCACACTGGGGTCTCCTTTCGCCCAGGACAGAACACAGAAGCCTTTTTCCGTTGTATGGAAGATAGTTTTTAAGACACTTGAAACTTTCTACTCTAGTTTACAGAGCAAATTATTTTATTTTTATTGTAAATCTTAGCGCGGAAGAGCTGATTTCTAAAATACGACTAAAGTGAATATATACGTAGGACTCTGGAAAGCTGGGCCCGGGCCCCGACCCCTCTGTCGGAAGCGCCCGCCCGCCGGGGGTGGGGGGCGACCGTGTCGGATGGCTCCCCCTCCTCCGCTGGGAAAGCCAGTGTGCGCGGTGACGCCTCATGACGCCCTGAGAGAGGCGGCAAGGGGTGCCCCCTCCGTTCTCCCCCTGGGTGCTCAGTGAGAGTGCTCCTGGTCACGCTGTCCCGGCAGGAGCTGGAACCTGTAGGAAGATGCATTTCCTGAATAAAAAAAGTGTCTGCCAGAAGCACGTGGGCTCGTGTTTGTGAATCCGGTGCGGGTTGAGTGCTCTGGCCGGGGGGTGGCGTGTCGGGCACATTTCCTCGAGGGCACCTGCCTCTCGCTCTCCTCAGCGGGTCCTCCTCCTGCAGGTGTGGGAGGCGACAAGGCCGCGGCCCTCGTGTCGGGAGAGGCTGTGGGGATGTTGGGAAGAGGTAGACGCCCAACACGGGCCGCCGAGGCAGGGGCGCTTCTCCCTCTAGCCTGCATTTCATTGCATCTCTGTCTCCTGGCCCGGAGGTCAGCTCCAGGGAGAGCAAGGGAAAGAGTAAGCGATCGGCAATCAAGAAAGCAGATCCGGGGGGCGCCTGGGTGGCGCAGTCGGTCTTCAGCCAGGTCACGATCTCACGGTCCGTGAGTTCGAGCCCCGCGTCAGGCTCTGGGCTGATGGCTCGGAGCCTGGAGCCTGTTTCCGATTATGTGTCTCCCTCTCTCTCTCTGCCCCTCCCCCATTCATGCTCTGTCTCTGTCTGTCCCATAAATAAATAAAAACGTTGATGAAAAAAAAATTAAAAAAAAAAAAAAAAAA